TTTGAATCCATTTTTTGAGCAATACCACCAAAAAAAACATGATTTTGAGCAAAAACACTTTAACTTTTTGACATTTTCCCTGCGAGCTAGCAAATCTTTTTTTTTTCCAGCTGGTAAATCCTAAAATCCAAAAACTTTTTGAGGTTTCCTCTTTAAAATGACATAAAAATTTCCCATTAAAATAAACCAAAAATAGTATCCAGACAAAATAACAATGGCTTATAACTGATTTGGAAGACAAATCAGTTATACCGCTCATGATATGAGGATGATTTCAGAATCAAAATGTTGCTCAAAAAGTAGGAGTCTGAAAATGTGCTAAAGTCAAATTTTGACCTAATTTGACTTAATCCATGGTTTGATGTGATGGCTCACATATAAGGGTTCTAGAAAATGAAACTTCCAAGGTTGGTAAAAAGATGAAATCTTCCGGGTCATACAGTGAAAAGCAGCTCCAAAAAGTTTTGTCAATTGGGAATTCTAAAGCTCAGTTGGGTGGTAGTATCTACAGAAATCATTGACTTTCTGGGTTTTTTTATTTTTATTTTTTGTGTGTTTGCTGTGTTTTTAGTTGCCAGGTTCAGTATTGAAAGTGTTGTTTTTAAGGTTCATATGTGAAGCAAGAGCCGAAAACATCTGAGCGAATTTTAACAAAACTGAAGGTTTTGTAGAAAATGTGTCTAAGAGGAATAGGAAAATGGTGTTTTTGTTATTGTTCCCTGCAAAAAAAAAAAAAAGACCATGGCAAATAGGAATAAGGCATGGCCAATGGTATTTAAATGTTTGAAATCTAGTTTGTAATAAGTATTTAAAACATAATTAATGCAACTCTTGTTACAAGTATTTTATTTGTTGTGTTTTGAGCACTAGCAGGGGTAGACATAGCAATTGTTTAGGTTGTCCGAGACAAACTATTTTCATTTCGGACAACCAGATCTTGTCTCCTGGTTGTCCAGTGGACAACCAAGAATAAAAGACCTTGATTAAAGTTCTCTGCCGCGGGTATTCGTCTTTTGAAAAAATGAATGGGAGAAAAAACTTGGTAAAGCTGAACAGAAAGGTTATGTACACAGTATACTCCTATTTAAGTGAAAATGTTTGACCTATGAGCAGAAAGAAGTATATGAATTTTGGGTAACCTCTAGATTTTATTAGCAACATTTTTGCTGCTTTACACCCTGAGCCTTAAATTCTCTATTTCAAAGAAGAGAATGAGGAAGTTTTATTCACGCAGATCCTGTCAACCTGGGTGATCGAGAACAATTATATATAATAAACTTTGTTTACAGAACAATATACTTGTTAAATTACATTTTTCTTGAGATTCTTTTGGACAACCAAAATGTTTTGCGGACACCCAGATTTTGTCAACAGGTTGTCCGCTGGACAACCTGAAAAATATCCTTATGTCTACCGCTGACTAGCACCTGGCAGTGCCTTTTTGTCCTAATGGTGCTTATGATATATTTTAAGGGCCCTACAAACTGATATTAGTTAAATAAATAGCTAGTTATTAGCCTCTGTAGAGAGCCTACAGCAGCCAGGTGTTTTATTTTCATCTAGTACCATGCTAACTCTTGGGGCTTGTTCCAAACATTTGTTTCAAAACATTGTTACCCTAAATAAAGAGTGTAGAGAGGCCATGACTGTGCTTACCATCAGATAAAATGTAGAACTGACCCTAATGAGCATAAACGTTCAGAGAGCTTAAGCTTAATGACTGCTTGAAACCAGATTTAGGAGAGGGGACTTGACTTACTGCTGGGCGGTACGAACAAAAATTTATATCACAGTACTTTTAAAATTTATCAGTATCACCTTTTGTGGGGTAATTTATTTTCATCAGCTCAGGCTGATGTTAAAATGTCTAAATGCTGTTTATTGATCAACAAACTGCAGTCAGCTGAAGTTACTCTCTTTCTACAACACAGAAACTAGTTCTTGACTTTTTTCTTTCACTGCTCCTCTCTGTGTCGCGTTTTCCCTCCGTCTTTTAAGCTTTAAAAACAATCAATTTTTTAAATCAATGTCATATTTGACAGGTAGCCAGTGGAAAGATACGAACATAAAAGCAATGCTGGCTACTTTCCTGGTACCAGTTGCAAAGTCTGAGTTTATCTGATCCAGCTGCAGATGGTACAACAGAGACTGACTGACTGCCAAAATAAAAACAGCTACAATAACCTGACCTGGAGCTGATCTGTGTGTTGAAACAACTGTCTTCAAGTCTGTATTACAGAAAAATGATTTAAGCTTGGAAATGTTTCTTAGTTAGAGAAAACAACTGGGTTAAACTGTTCATTACATTTTAACTGGCTGTCAACAATGACACCTTAACTCCTGACGTGAGCTTAAGATCAAATAATAATGTCTTCAGAGGGACGTGGCTCTACAAGTGATTGGAGGGCCAGCACTCATCATCTCAGGCTTGTTTAACTGAAGACAGAAAGAATCCATCTTTATTTTATTTTTAAGACAACTCCATGCTCTGAGTGCTTACTTATTGTTAGAGTTCACTTGGTTATTTTCAGTGGCTGCACCTCAGGATGATTTTCATCTAAAACACTGAAAGGTGAGGCACCCGTCGATACACAGTCCTTTAAGGAGTTCTATTTAATTTTATTGTTTTAGCAAAGAGAGAAGCTGCAACTCTTTCCACCGTGTGAACAGAGCATTGCTAACAAATGGACCGAACCATGGATATTTTCACAAGAATTGATTGCTTGTTTAGTATAACTAAATTTTAAAGAAACGGTCAGTCAAAATAATGCGTAGGAAAGAGTGGATACAAATAAAAACTGAATAAAGAGGCAATTGGTGTGTTTTCTTTTAAAAAAAAGTTACTATAATCATGTCTTTCAGTCTCCTGGAGATATTTGAGAATCAGCAACACAGTGTTTAGTGTTTTTTTCCCTCCTCTGCCGTCCTTGCACTCATCACTGCCCAGCTAACAGGCTCATCTGTCTCTTTGTGTCTCTTTTGAATTTGACTGTGAGAAACCTGCAGACAGCCTGTAGTGAAACACTCTTCACAAACACCCTGAGAGGCCCCCACAGTACAGCTGCTGCAGCCTCATCCCCGCCTCCTTTTCCCACCCCCCCGGTTGGCGGTGGCAGCGGACGGCGTCTGAGCGTCGAATCGGATGCTGGGGGGCGGGGGCTGAGCCAGCAGGCGTCACACGGTCACTGCTGCAGAGTGGGACAGTGTAGAGCTCTGTTATTTTAGGCAGCAGGATTACGTTGAGTCACAAGATGGATCTTCTAATCCTGTTGTGTGTGTGTGTGTGCATGTGTGTGCGCGTGCATGTGTGCGTGCACTAATCTGATCTCTAAGCGCAGTAGCAATAAGCCTGTGTTGTAGAGATGCACCTACAGATGATGGCCGCTCAGTGTCAGGCCAATCAGATTGAGCTGTATTTTGTTCCTTTTAATACTTCATGTTCCCAACAAATTCCTGAAAGGTTTGAATGTCTTTTTCTCATCTAAATTAAGTAAAAAAATGTCCTTTTTAAATTCCTATACCTGTTTCTAAAAGATTAAAAATCTAAACACACACACCTAAAGATTTCACAATTTCATTCGACCTCTTAGCACTCAGTGTTAAGGATGACGCTCACCTTCTACCTCTTCTGATTTTACCTCATTACCTGTAAAACTGACAAAAGTTACCCAACCCATTTTTGTTAATAGTTATCAAGTAATGAATTAATCTAAAGTTGATTGATCTTATCCATCGACTGACGATTAATTGATGTGTCCGTTTTCTTAAAAACCTAAGTTTTCTCTTGTTTCAAGAGGGTCCTTCCATAACTTAAAAGGCTATTTTTTTTATAATATGCTGAATTTTAAAAAAGAAGCGCGTTGTTGGATTTTAACTATTTATTGTGCCAGCTGTATTAAATATGGACTGAATAAACAAAATTGTTTATTTCTCACACATTGCAATTTCTCCCCGAGGTTCAATAAAGCAGTGGTTCCCAAACTTTTTATCTTCTGACCCAAAAAATATCCATGGCAAAAACTTGTGACCCCAAATATTACTGGTCTGAGTACATGAACTTTGTTAATAACCCTAAAAACACAGGCTTTTTGACAATCTAAACAGCTTGTACACAAATCTAAATACTTATTTATACTTATTTTGTGTTTTTGTAATAGTTATAGGGAAAATATTACATCAGCAATTATTTTATTACCCTTTAAATTGATTTCTGGAGATTATCCAAGGTGCTTCATGACCCATTAAAAGCCCAACTTTGGGAACCTAAGTTCAGTGGTTCCCAAACTTTTCAGCTTTTGACCCACAAAATAACAGTAGCAGAGACCTGTGCCCCCTACTATTTTTGGATGATAAACATTTGTATCAGGTCAACTAAACAATAGTAATAGTAACAATATTTTTATACTACATTTATCCATTTTAAATACATTAACCTCACTCCTTTGTAACAACTAAGGCAAAAATGTAATTAATTCCAAAAATCTTTTCAGGACCTCACCTTGATTTTTCGGGACCCCACTTTGGGTCCCGACCCCAACTTTGGGAAACACTGCAATAAAGTATTCTGATTCTGATTGTTCAACTTGGACATATTTATAAAATATAACAAAACTCTACGTATTAGGTTGCTAAATTGAAGAAAAAAAAAAAGAAAATTATAACATGTGAAACACTATAATTTATTTACATTTAGAATTTATGATTTATTTTTTCCTCTGATTCTTAACTTTTTGCTGCAGATTGCTCTGACTGTCTCTGTAACAGTAAGATTAGTTGAACTCTAAGTGGATCTAACTGGACTCCAGGTGTTCTCTGTGGCTGGAACCTGCTTACCTCTGAGGCAACAGAAACATCCTACTCTGTTCTCCAGAGCTCAGGACTGATGCTTGGTTCTGTTGGACCAGTCAGCCTGGTTCTGGAGCAGGTGGGCGGGCGACCTCGTTACCCCCTCTGCACACTAAGACCTCCGAGTGCAGCTCCATGTACAAAGATCATTGTTTTGACTAAAACTGACTAAAAAAGAGTAAACATACCCAATTATAAAATCCAAACACGCTAAACATTACAAATTTAATGACTTCCTCCTGCTCTAGCTGTCTCTTCAGCGCCACTGAACTTCGTTCAGCTTTTGCATCTTTTTATTTTCTTCGTTCTGTAGATTTTTTTGCTGCTTGTCAAATAACTTTGGACCTCAGTCAGAAAAAAGATCAGGGGGGTTTTATTTATTTTTCTCGAGAGGAGAAGGAAACTGACTAGGGTTGGGCATAATCGTATCGTGTGCAGTTAATCGTCAGAAAAACATTAATCAATTATATTTTGGCACTTGATGATTAATACGATTAATGCCACCAGGCAGAGTCCGCTCGGTGCTCCTCTCTGCTTCAAATATGATGAACACTAAAAAAAAGTTCTGTAATTTATTTATCTATCAACATAATTTTAAATTTGATTTGTAGCCTGAAGTCTGTAATTTTGACACAATTTGGAACAGATTTTTATGAAGAGCAAATCTTTCCCACTAAATTGGTCATGTGACTAGGATGTAAGGGTGTCCAGGGACTCCAGGGGATTACCGTATTTTTCGAACTGTAAGCCACACCCGCCATGTTTTTAAAAAACCCCGCGAACATTAGCATATAAGCCGCACCCCCAACATTAAAAAGAAAAAAACCCAGTACACCCAAAATTGTCATCAAAAAAGTGAATTCAACATCAAAACATAAAAAGCAAACCTTTAGGAATTAAAGTTCGGAGGAATACGGTTCATAAAACTGACCTTATTTTGGTAGTTTTCTTTAACAGTTTCTGATCCAACAAAACGTCTCATTCATCTTCCTCCGGCGCACTGAAACCATGGAAGTCCTCCTCTTCAGTGTCGGAGTTAAACAAGCTCAGAAAAGCTGCGTCACACAGCGGTATCTGTTGTCCTCCCGGGGTAATGCTGGCTCTGAAGCTGTGGTGCCCTCTTCATGTAGCAGTCCAGCCTTTCAGAACCCTTTGGTGATGGTGGACTCATTCACTCTGCTCCACGCTGTTAGGATCCACTGGCAGACATCAGGAAATGACGCTCTTCGCATTCGGCCAGTTTTTGTGAATGATTTATCCCCGTCAGTCATCCAAGCCTCCCATTCACCCCTGAGTGCTGCTTTAAATGCACGATTCACACTGATGTCCAGGGGTTGCAAAAACTTTGTTGTACCTCCAGGAATAACAGCAGGAACTGAGTTTGTTTTCTTGATGGCTGCTTTCACCGAATCCGTGATGTGGGCCTGCATATTGTCCAATATCGCGTCTGTCGAAGATCCGTCATGTCGTGTCTGCTATTAGCTAAAACAAAATGGCGCTACACCTCCGGCTAAGAGCCCCCACCTGGGGCTAAAGAGCACCCACGTCCAGCTAAAGAGCCCTCTGGTGGCTAAAGAAAAAATCCACATATTAGCTGCACCAGACTATAAGCCGCATGGTTCAAAGTTCAGAAAATAAGTCACGGCATATAGTCCAAAAATATGGTAATCGTCAAATTAATAGTTATCGGCTAAATACCCCAATTAATCGTGATTAATTTTTTTGCCAATATTGCCCAGCCCTAAAACTGACAGTGGATTGCGGTGTTTTCATCCATGAGATTATCTGCTGTTTCCCGCTTGCGATGCGCATTAAGTTTGAACAGTCATTTTTTTAAAAAGGTGGTGTAAACTGTTTATCATAACTCTGGTCTTACTGGGCTTTTCAGCACAGTTTAAAAACTGGTTTGAAGTTTTTCATTTTCACTCATATTGAAACAGAGTTATAGAGAGGACGTATCTTTCTGGTCTGTATCAGTTAATCAAATGGAATGAATTTTAATCTAATAAATTCTTATTCAACAATTAATCCTAAGTTAATTAATTGTTTTCATCCCTATTTGCTAATGCTAATTAGCTGTGGCAACCATCTTGAATTGGCATGACTCCAAAACCTAATCAGTTGTAGACAGATGTACATGCAGTGATTATCTTCTTCTTCATCATTAAAATTTGCCCACTGTGTCATGAGATGCTTCACTAAGTAAGAAACAAACACAAGTAAGTACATCATCACCCACCAGGCAGTAAAGAGGAGATCATGCAGGTTGGTATCCCCTGCATCTTTCTTTTTTCCTGTCTGTGTACACTGCGTGCAGTTTACTTGTTTAACAAGAAAATAAAGCCAGACCAGAGGAGAAAAATTGGTCATTACTTTTTAGGAAACCTTTGTATTTGTAAGGTATAAATCTGCCTGAACTCAGCAGAAGTCTAGAAATGTGACACTGTATACCAACTTCAGTACAGTTTTGTGTAGAATAACCAAAATTCCAAAATGTTCTATTTCTCTTGTCCCTGCAGCCACCTCCAACCCGTTTCCCCCGAAGCCCCAGCTCTTCAGCACTCTCCTCTACTCCCTGGTTCCCATCATCGGCCTGGCTGCCGTCGTCCTCTTGTCCTTCTGGATGTGGAGGCACCACAAACTGGCCTACCCCGCCGCCCTCGTGCCCACACATGTAAGTCAAAACTACCCTTTTTTTTCTATGTCTTTTTTTTCTGTTGGCTGATTTCAGAAGTGGCTTTCTGTCAATCACTCAGGACAGAGGTGTTGTGTTTCTGCAGAGCTGCTGTTGAGGCGCTTCAAGTTTCTCTTTCTGTCCATTCAGCTGCGATGACCGTTGGGTCCTGCTTTTTATCGGTTAATTGCAAACAAAGGGGAAATGTAAAACGCCTCAGTTCCCGCGTGTCAGATGCTTTTTTTTTCTATTTTTTTTTTCCTGGAAACTTGTCCCATAGGCACCGACGTGAAGCCTCAGAGACAAACAGGAATACCAACGGCAGAACGGCATTAAAATCCAGCCTGACTCTGATAAAGCTGAGATGTTTTGTGAAGCTAATCTCAGAACCACATATTTTACTTACAATGGAACACAATAAACATATTAAATGTTTAAACTAAGAAATTGTACAATATTAAGGAACAAATTAGGTAATTCTGAATTTGATTATAGCGACAGGAAAAAAGTTGGGACAGGGGCAACAAAGGTAAAGTCAGTTGTAGGAACAGGAAGCATCTGGAGGAGCATTTTCAACTAATTAGCTTAACTGGCAAAAGGTCAGTAAGAGGACAGAAGAAAAGAAGAGCATCTTAGAGAGGGTGAATCTTTCAGAAATAAAGAAGGGCAGAAGTTCACCAGTCTGTGAAAAACGTTAAAAATATTGGAACAATTGGGAAACAAAATTCCTACAGATCTAAATATCATGAAAAGATTTCAGAGCAGTGTCTGAGCTCAGACCAACAGGCTGGAAGTCAGGATTGGATGTGATCTTTGGGCCCTCAGGGGCCACTGCATTCAAAACATTATTACTGCATGGGCGTTCACACTTCTACAATTCATTGTCTGTAAATATAGTTCACTGTGCTTACTGAAAAGGCTGGTTAAAGCTCTATCATGCAAAAAAACTACACATTTGTTAACACTATCCAGAAATGCTGCTGTCTTCTCCGGACCAAAGCTTGTTTAAATAGACTGAGACACAGTGGAAAAGTCTGAACTGTCCAACCTATTATCAGCACACCGGTCAAAAGCCTTCACTATGTTCATTGTTTATTATTACATCACTGTGTGCATGTGAATAAAATATGACTTTATTTGATTTTCAAATAATGACATTATGTTTTTATCTGTGTCAGAAATAGAGTTGTACTAAAAGTATGAAAAAAAGTTACAACTGCTCATTTTGTTTTATTTTCAACTAAAAACAGGAAAGAGACAGAGTTTGTGGAAAGCCACTGTGCAGACAATTAGGTTTGAGCATCTCCTTTCTGATCTGCCTTTTGTTGTGTCAGGTAGCCTTTTCATTTGAAATACTCAAACATTCCTGAACACACACTGGGCTTTTGTTCAAACAAAAGTGTAGGTATAAACTATTTTTCACCCGCATCTCACGCCAAACCTGTTTCATTCCTCTTCACTTAGATGCAGTTTTTATATTTATTTGTTTATTTTCTGTATGATTACACTTTTGATCAGTTTCACGTTTTTAAGCAAATTATGCAGCTTTTAAAAAGCTTTAAATTGTCCCGCATTCAATACAGGAAATGAATCCGTTCTCCCACCCAAAACGTTCTCCATGAATTTAGGTCCTGTGATCTGAAAGCCAGTTTTTTACTCGACTGCAGCAGAGCCGTGCTCTCATCTGCTTCAGCAGGAGGAGAGGAGAGGAGCCACGCAGAGCTTTCCACCGTATGGAAGAGGAGTCAGGGGCCTCTGCATTATTGATGAGGCTTTATATAGGCAAACAAAACTAAACACAGAGAAGCTCGCAGCGCTGCCTCCGAGGATGGAGGTGGTGGGTGGGAGAGTGGGGGAGGGAGCCGAGAGAGACGTGCAATTCTCTCGACTTACTTATTGTATTTGCACAGAGCAGGGGAGAGATAAAAAAGACAGTTACACAACGCCGTCTGGAAACAAAAGCTGATGCGGTTGGAAAAACAGCTATGCTAAGAGGCTTAAGGGAGAATTTTACCTGGATAGACGAGTGAGACAATAAACACAGTGAAACACGATATAAAGTGAAGGCCCAGCTTTCTTTGAAGGAATGCTTATTGCCCACCACCTTTCATTTCAAAGCCTTAAAATGAGATGATTTCATGACAGGAGGGGGCAGGGTTATCGTTGCTTTTGTTCAATCTTGAAAATAGCATTATACAATAATACATGCAGGACTGTAGAATCTGATATATTAGTGCTCAGTGTATATAGGGATGACTCTCAGCTACTACCACACCAGGTTTTAGCTGAAAGTCTGTAAAACTAACTTGTAGTAGGTTAGCTTTGACTACATTCACACTGCAGGTGCTGATGCTTATTTTATTTTATTTTTGCTTAAATCCAGTTTATTTGCATGGACATTAACTTAATGTTTTAAATGCATTTTTTTCATACTCCAGTGTCAGCTTTTCACAGCATTGCTGCAGCTTGAATGCACAGAGGAAGACATGACATCACATTCAGCACACTGAGTTTATAGGAGTAAATATGCATATGTTAGCATGTTGGAACAAGAACAACTGGCGGGGGACTATTAAAATGAGGTTAATAAAATGATAAGCTAGGTCAGTGTATCTTTTGGTCATTGGATTTTCATTTTCGAAACGGGTATTAAAAAGCAAGAAACGAGTGGGTATTTGATTTTTGTTTTAAAATCCTGAAATTAAAATTAAAATACAAAGTCATTCTTAGTGTCAAAAAGGGATAAACGGAATTTTAAAACTGAGTTGAGTTTCATTTTCTGTTTCAGATAGCAAAAAAGAAAATTACTTTAAGACAGAAACGAAGAAAAGGCTCATTTATTTGTTTTCTACGACTATCTATTACCCCACCAGAGGGGGCGCTCACCTGGCAGCTCTGCAAAATGAAACACAAATTTCTGTAAATAAAAGGTGGAAATACAGAGAAATATGTCCATAAATGAGTTGTATGATGACTGTCGCTCTGTGACCAAAGACTTTGCAGAGCTAATTCAAAAGGCTTTAGACCAAATAAGTATTTTTTACTGAATACATGTCGGCTACTGCCTCCACTTCATTTCCATTTCTCTCAATAAAATGCAAATATGGTAACTTTTATTCTATTAGTGTGTTGTACGATTGTTATGTGAGCAGAAAGTTTTTTTCTCTCCTGAGTTTTGATAAAATCTGTGCTTTTTTCTGTCAGTTTGCATCCTTGGAGTTTTCCTTTCAGTGAGGGGTGGGCGGTACTACGACTTGGATATTGATCTGATATCAAATAAATACTTGGCAAATATATTTGATGCCAAAGTCAACATCAATGCTTTTTACTTGTAATGGGATGTTCATTGAATAACTTTGATATTGCAGACACCCCTTCTGGTGGTGAACCAGTTTATAGGGACACAGTAAGTTGGCACGACCTGTCATGGATTATGAACAAACAAACCTTTTTTTCGTTTTTGTTTTAAAGTAATTTTCTTTTTTGCTATCTGAAACAGAAAATGAAACTTAAATCATTTTTCAAATTTCGTTTATCTCTTTTTGACACTAAGAATGAGAAACGCTTTGTATTTTAATTTCTATATTTTAAAACAAAAAACAAATATCCAGTCGTTTCTTGTTTTTCAATACCCATTTTGAAAATGAAAATCCAATGACCAAAAGATATTCTGACTGAGGTTGGTCATTTTTGTTGACCTTGTTTATTGTCTTTGTGTGTCCCTCTCTTCTACTCTTTAGTGTAGGGAGGAACAGACTCTCGCGTCAGGAAGTCTCTAGTATGCTACCTCTGTAGCATGAGAGCCATGCGAACAGGCATGTATCCAGAGGAGCTTCTTTGGTTTTTCTTTCAGCTGGCAACTTCACAGATCATCATGCTAAACAATGTGTTCGCTGAGACGTGTTTTTTTTATTATTTTATTTTGTTTACACTATAAACTTTACTCCAGGTTCGTCCATAACTATGGAAAAATTGTTAATTTCTTTAAATTACATAAGCGGCATGAGGTGTGGCAGGAGGGCAGGGGAAGACTCATAAAGAATAAATTGTGCCAGTTTTGATAGAGGTGAGAAACGATTTTACAGCTTCAACAGCTGTTGTTGTGTGTTGTTTTCCAAATCTCCAGGTTGGTTTGTGAAATTTTATGTATGTAAATTTCCTAAACTTCTGTAAGCTTCTGTCAGCTTCGTAGGCGTGTGTGTGTGCGTGCGTGTGTGTGTGTGTGTGTGTGTGTGTGTGTGTGTGTGTAGGGTATCAGTGTTTTCGTTTAAAATGGTCTCCAAATGATAGTTTATAGCATTAATTTCTGAGACAATAAATCGTCCAGAAAAACTTGTTATCCTCACGGCCTTATTTAGACATGACCGTTCTTTTTTTCTTTCTTTTTTTTTTCCTTTTTTTTTGTCAAAAAAAAAGACATGACCATTCAAACAGCGGTTACTTTGAAAGCATCAGATATGTATTCAGTTTAGTACCAAATACTGAAAAGACCTAGGTTAGATTTGAAAAAGTCTGATTTGTCATATTTAAATTGTCATGAAAAAATTTGAGATAATTTACACAGAAGCCAAAAATCAGATTTTGGTTGTATTTGCCTGTAGTATGAACGTAGCCTAGTTGCAACAGCCATCGTGAGTAGGGTTGTAGATGGTCATCCAGTGATTGCATTCTTAGTTTCTTACAAATCTGTCTATTGGTTCATGAGATATTTTGCTAACAAACAGGGTTAATTCTAAAAGATAATGTCAAGGTTTTAGGCAAAAATTATCACGCAGTGTTGGAGACCACTGCCAGCTACTATTATGCCAAATTTTAGGTCAAAATCCATAAAATTGCTGAGTTCCAGCAATTTGTGTTTTTCACACAATTTCTAATGTTGGATGCAGCGGCCATCCTTATTTGCGCTCACTTGAAAAAGTAGTCCCTTGTAAAATACAGTGACTTTAAAATGAAAGTTATTATACAGTGACAAAAACATTATTGCCTTTTTGCATTGAGGGCGGGCGATATTAAAAAGAAGAGTGGGTCATGTATCAAACACGGATGAGTGAAATCAATTGAAATTGTAATAGATGGATAATCCGAAGCGTGGAGCGGATGAAGTCATCCTGTCATCGTGTTTTATTGCATGAATCAGTGGGAAGCAAAGAAAGGAGGTCACTTGGATGTATTTAAATGTCACCTCATATGCATTTTTCTATTTATCAGACCTGTTTTTGCCATTTAAAAGTCAGACTGTCTTTAAAAGGATGGAGATTAATGCAGCTGTAGGAGAGATGTAGCTTTCTTAAAAAAAAAAAAACAATAACAAATAACCTGTTAAATTACAGGGCTCACATTTGAGACATAAAAAGGCCAAATTTGGAAGGAAATCCAAACAAGAACATTGATATTTCGAGAAAAGAAGAATAAGTTCCCCAGATGAAATTTGAATAATTTATCTCTGAATTCTAATGTCCCTTAATGTATCATCTTGCAGCAAGTCAGTAAAATGTCAAAAAGAAGGGGGATATATTTATTGGAAGCTGGTTTGTGCTTCGTCATGACTCTTTGTGCTCGATAATGCAGCGAGCTCCACTCGGGTCATGTATATTTAATGTGACAGCAACAAATTGACCCCACATGTTGGATGTAGAGCATCCGCTGCAGACGGGAAGCCTCTGCTGTTGTTAATCATCCGAGCGATAATGTTTTCCCTGCTCTCTAATGATGTTTTTGTGCAGGTGGGATGATGGTAAACTGTTTGCATCAAACAGCACACGTTTAATCAGAACCTGGAAATAAAACGGATTGTGACGTAAATGAGCAGCTGGAGTTGAAGCAGAGACGTTTATGATGTTTCTGTTTTGTGGGTTTGTGTGTGAATGGTCTGAACAAGACGAATGTGCCAAGTCCTTGTGCTGCTTTTTGTAGCCCTGCTTTGTCTTTGTCTAGTCATTTTGAGTGCTTTATGTTGATTTTTGAAATAAATTTACTGTTATTTTGTCCTATTTTATTATTTTATCATTTCATTGTTGTCATTTTTTCTCACTTTGAGCATTTTGTGTTTGACAAATTTCATTTTGCTCCTCTTCGTAGTCATTTTTGTTTGATTGCTTTTTATTCCCTTTTACTGGGTGTCCGTGAGTCCTTAAAAAGTCTTAAATTCACGTACCTAAAAATAAGACCTTAAGAAGTCTTACATTTGTTTAAAGATTTGCAAATACATAGAAAACATACTGTTTTTTAAATTATAATTTTTGGAGGGAAAATGGCAATACTGGCTTACATTATCACGAAATATCTTATTGTGACCGCTGTGTCATGTGTCATATCACCAATGTCTTGCCAATATGCAGCCCTATTAAGTAAGACCCTTATGTAAAGTTTGGGCACTGTTTTGCTCAGTATGAACATTCAGTAATTTGGGCCGTAGATCCTGTGTTGAAGGACTTCTCTTATTGTTTTTTCACACATCTAAACTGTGCCACATCAGTCTGCTGTACTATAACATTAGTTTTCTTTGCAAGTTAGTGACAGTTGGAGCCTTTGCGACACAAACGTAATTGTTCCTTCTTAATAACCAAGAGCGCCTTTATTACTTTCTTTTAATTTCACAACGTGTGTCTCCAGAGGAACAAAAACAGAAAGCAAACCAGCAGAGTGAGAGGTGCTGCTGCTATATTTTCTCATATATCTGTCAGATTTGCATTAGGCCAAGCTGGAGATGGCCGTAATAAAGATGAAGGCTGATTTATCATTTTTATGGAAAAGAAAAATGAGAATGTTGGCTGCTTTTAATTTATAGACTCCGCAGCCCTGAAGAA